ATGCAGCCGCTCGTCAGGATGACGTTCCTGCCGACAAACGCTGCCAGAGGGAGAGAGGAATCCCCGTGAGAGTCGTGCCCCACAGCGCGGTTAAACCCCGCACCCCCAAACATCAACATCACAAGCTGCTCGGAGCCAGAGCCAGCCCAGCCCAGCTCCCGCCAAGGCAGTAACACACGTGGGTTGTCTGTGGCAATCAGCTTTGTGACAAGCTGCAGTTCGGCCTCGCTACGGAAAGACGGCACCATGTCATCCTCTGCTGTTCCCAGCGTCTAAGAGAGGAAAATCTCACAAGGGCCAAGGCGATAATCCGAGACTTACCTTTGGATTCGATGACGTTGTTATCTCCCACCTTCATGGCTTGGGAATCTACGGGTCCGTGTTCAAGAAAACTGTAAAATGTTTTGCTTTTATTTCAAAAGGTAAATCCCGACGCCATTTTCAAACCAACACCCTGCACCTTAAATAGCCCTGGGCTGCTTAAACCCCAACAGAGGGCTTAAACCCACACATGCTTCCCCTTGTACCGATCCAAAAGCGCAGTGTATCAGATGGTCTGTCTCACTGCGCAGCAAGGATACAACACCCAACTTCAAAAACATTGTTGGTGCCAATGACCATTGGTTTGGGCTCCACCTCTTCAGTTTCTGGCGTAATATTTTCTGGATACCTGCAAGACGGAAGAATATATTTCAATTTTTCAGATCACAAAGGTACTGTCCTGTTCGGCAGCTCAATTTTGTGAGGCTGAAGTCACGTATATCTCATCTGATCCAGCTAGACTGTCAGGGTTTGGAGACTGCTGGCTCTTGCACAGGGTCTCTCATTCTCAGGATTAGGATCCTTCTCCTCTGGCAGCTGGAGAAGGATTCACAGAGGGAGGACTTCTTCCCTAGCCATAGTGCCACACACATACACAAAAGCACAAGAGTTTGTTGTTGTTTTTTTTTTAAATTCTACCTCCCCAGAGTTTTTAAGCTAATGCCTTGCTTCTTAAAGAGCTGTAAGCACAAGCTCACGTTTGACAAGACTGATAGGGGATCTGTGTTGAGATATCTCAGAAAACAACCCTCTGCAAAACCCAGGAACAAATCCCAAGGATTTTGTCCCAGGACCCAAACAAATCCTCTCCCCATCCGGCCTGGCTCTGAGGGACACCGTTCACAGCACCGCTGTGCCGAGAGGGTTAGCGGCGTTGGCTCCCCTGAAACGAGATGCAGGTCTGGGTTACGACCCCCTTGGAGAGCCCTGGCCACACCGTCCAGTTTCTTACTGACCCATTTATGATGAGCGCCTGCTCCTCGATCAGGTTGCCTTCCCCGATGACGATCGGCCCCGCTTCGGCGATGATCCTGGCCTTGGGGTGGATCACCGTCCTGGGCC